TTTTGTGGAAGAGCCACACTCAAGGGGCCAAAGAGCCGCATGTGCCTCGAGAGCCGCGGTTTGCCGACCACTGCACTAGACACATGGGGAGTTGGCCTGTTCGGTAATTAACTCTTCTAAGTCATTACTTTAAACCTGGCGGTCACCTCTACGCTGTGGCCACTGGTTACAGGGTTTGTCCAGGTGGTGCCGGTGTGGCCCTGGGCATCCGCTGGTAGGGAGTGGAGGAGGCGACAGAGTTAGGGGCTGAGTTTGTCATTCTTACCCCCTGGCGGGTGTCCCCTCGGTGAGCGCACGTGGGCGGCGATGTCAGACCCACGACACGGGCGGAGATCCCGCTGCGTGTGCCGGAGGTAAGTCCTGTCGGCCCGTGTGGACAGCGTCCACGGGACCTTCTGGAAAACATTAAAACGGTCCGTTGTTGCTGGCGGATGCCGCTCGTGGCATCGTCTCCGGGCTGCTCCGTGTACACCGCTGCTCTCTCCCCAGTGTACGCCGTGTTCGGCTTTACCAGCGTGGTGAACCTCATCATAGGCCTGGAGCAGGACGGAGTCATCGACGGGTTCATGACGCACTACCTGCGAGAGGTATGGCCCCGCTTCTCGGTTCTGAGCCTTCAGCCCCAGGGCCAGCCACCCACCCACCCAGCCTCCTTCACTTACATTTAATGGAAAAGACGAACTTTACATGAATTGAGAATTTGTGTAATATTATTAAAATATCACTACATCTGAAAGCCCAAGTTAGTCTTACGCGTGTAAAGTACATCAATGCCAGGTTCATAGGTCGATGCTTAATCACTGAGCCACGCCAGCCGGGCGACAGTAAGCATTTTTAAAAAATCCTCATCCAAGGATATGGCTTTTTATTATTTATTTACTTATTATTATTATTATTTTAATATATTTTATTGATTTTTTTTACAGAGAGGAAGGGAGAGGGCTAGAGAGTTAGAAACATCGATGGGAGAGAAACATCGATCAGCTGCCTTCTGCACACCCCCTACTGGGGATGTGCCCACAACCAAGGTACATGCCCTTGACCTGAATCGAACCTGGGACCCTTGAGTCCGCAGGCCGACGCTCTATCCACTGAGCCAAACCGGTTAGGGCTACTTACTATTTTTTAATCCTCACCCAAGGATATTTTCCCATTGAGTTTTAGGGAGAGTGGAAGAGAGAGGAAAAGACAGAGAAACATTGATGTGAGAGAAACACATTGATTAGTTACCTATTGGTTGCCTCCTGCATGAGCCCCAACCAGGGCCCGGGCCGGGGAGTAGCCTGCAACCGAGGTAAACGCCCTTGACTGGAATCGAACCCGGGACCTTTCGGTCCACAGGCCGATGCCCTATCCACTGAGCCAAACCGGCTAAGGCTAAAGTTGTACTCACCCCTTCCTGCCGATTTCGTAACTTTATGAGATGCAGCGTAGTTTCATCTGAGCAGACTTGCACACATCAGTTCTGTTGTGTTTTACGCGAGGTGCAGGCCTGGTGTTCTGCGCGGTGTCTGAGCCCCATGTAAAGCGGACCCCCTCTTCATGCTTCCCTCAGGGTGAACCGTATCTGAACACGGCGTATGGGCACATGGTCTGCTACTGGGACGGCTCCGCCCATTACCTGATGTACCTGGTGATGGTGGCGGCCATCGCATGGGAGTAAGTCACTGCGCCGGGGGGTGTGCCTCCGCCGCCTTAGCCACCGATGCGCGGGTAGGTAAGGGGAACACAGAGGCGAGTGGACAGACAGGTGTCCCCGGACTGAAGGCCGCTCCTTGGAGATGAGTCAGACCCGGCGTTCTGCGCCCCCCGGCCCTTTGCACCTGGCTTTCTGGGTTACCCCTCGGAGGTGATGGCTCAGGCAGACCCTTAACTTCCTGATTGATTTTGTTCTCTTATGAGAACAGTGTTTTTTAGGAATTTAAGCCCCAACACATTTTTTTTTTATTGATTTCAGAGAAGAAAGGAGAGGGAGGGAGAAACATCAATGATGAGAATCATTGATTGGCTGCCTCCTGCACGCCCTCTACTGGGGATGGAACCTGCAACCCCGGCATGTGCCCTTGACTGGAATCGAACCCGGGACCCTTCAGTCCGCAGGCTGACGCTCTATCCACTGAGCCACACCGGCTTGGGCATGCCCAGCACATTCTAACGCAAAGCTTCAGCCTCACGCCAGTTCAAGCTGCCTTTCCCCCGTCCATGAGGCGTGGGGGTCTGTCCTCCCATTCCTTCTCCAGTCAGCCTGCCCCGGCTTCTCTGAGGATGTATGTAGGTACAAGGGGTTGAAGGGAAGAGGGGCAGGGTCTTTAATGCCACGTGCTGATTGGCCCTGCTTTAGGATATGCTGGGTCTGCTGTGGGGTACACACGTGGGCTCTCTGGAGACCCCTGCACAGGACGCTCTGCATTGCACCGATCCCTGCAGTGAGCAATGCTCTCCGGCTGAGTTTGTGACTCCCAGGCCCACGGGGGTACACCACAGCTTCTCTCCGCTGGGGTCCCTTAGCCCAGGACAGTCAAGTCCAGCCACCTTCCCAGACCTCCCGTGGCTGCAGGTGAGGGAAAGCCATGCATTCTTCTCTCTCTCTCTCTCTCTCTCTCTCTCTTTTTTTAATCACCCAAGGATATTTTCCCATTGATTTTTAGAGAGAGTGGAAGAGAGAGGGAAAGACAGAGAAATATCGATGTGAGAGAAACACATTGATTGGTTGCCTCCTGCATGAGCCCCGACCAGGGCCCAGGCCAGGGAGGAGCCTGCAACCTGGGCATGTGCCCTTGATGGGAATCAAACCTGGGACCCTTCGGTCCGCAGGCCGATGCTCTATCCACTGAGCACACTGGCTAGGGCCATGCATTCTTCTCTTGCCTGTACAAGGCTGAAGTTCAACTGGACCATATGCATGCTCTGTGCTCGCGCCCCCCTCCCTTCCCCGAATTGTGAACTGAAGGACAGCTCCAGCTAATTTTTGGACTTTTCTAGGCACCAGCCTCCCCTTCCCAAGCTCTAGGGAACACGTCCCGTATTTCTGAGGATGCCTGAGTTCTGCGTGGACGCTCTCGGGAGTGGGCCAGAGTTTCTGCAGCTCTGTTAGCGCCCACGGGGGGAGTGGGCTCTTGCCTGTTCTATTGACAGTCCCGGTCACTGAACGGACCTGCCTGGAGGGATCTATGGGTTTGGCTGGTTCGGGGGTGTGTGGGGGCGGGGCAGGAAGCACACAGTTCAGAAGGGAACCCCTCTGTTCTGACTAAGACTCTCCTTTGTCTCAAAGCTCCTTATGGAGGTGGGTTATGGGGATATTGGTTGAAAGATCTGTTTGTCAGCATCGCCTATTAAGAAGATTAGGGGTATATATCACTTTTTAAAAATATATTTTTTAAATTGATTTTTAGAGAAAGAGGAGGGGTGAGGGATAGAGAGATAGAAATATCGATGAGAGAGGAGCATCATCGATGGGCTGCCTCCTGCACGCATCCCCACGGGAATTGAGCTCACAACCCGGCATGTGCCCTGACCGGGAATCAAACCGGCGACCTCCTGGTTCCTGGGCCGATGCTCAACCACTGAGCTACACTGGCTACTTCTTATCTTTACCTTTAGGGGCTTTGGCCAAAATTCTGTGACACCAGGGAAAGTCCACTTCACACCCATTACTCGTACTTCCAGTGGTTTGGGAAGTGGATCCATTTTCCATCCTTTTTTGAGCCTCCTTTTCCGTTTCGTACCTAAGAGTGAAACGCAGAGTGACGAGGGCGTTGTGGTCTACAGGTTAGGGTAGCAGTGTAGTTCCTATTCAAAAGGACAGAGCCCTGGCCGGTTTGGCTCAGTGGATAGAGTGTCGGCCCTCGGACTGAAGGGTCCCGGGTTCGATTCCAGTCAAGGGCACGTACCTTGGTTGCGGGTTCCCTGGCCCCCGGCCCTGGTCGGGGTGTGTGCAGGAGGCAACCAATCGATGTGTCTCTCTCACATCGATGTTTCTTTCTCTCTGTCTCTCCCCTTCCCTTCCACTCTGTCTAAAAATCAATGGAAAAATATCCTCGGGTGAGGATTAGCAAAAAACCCCCAAAACAAACAAACCCAAAATGAAATAACAAAAAGGTACAGGGAGGGTTCTGTGGTTTGTCACACGAGGAAATGGCGGGTGAGCACCAGGGTTCCTTGTGTCTGGGTTATTACTCTCCAGCAGGTTTCCATCCAGGTACTTTGTTAGTGAGGATAAAGGTAACCCTTCGGCAGATGGCACGCTAAGCCAAGGTCTTTTCGTTGCAGGGAAAGTTATAGGAACATTGGGCTGTACTGGGTCGGATCGATTATGATGAGCATGATTGTTTTTGTGCCAGGAAACATCGTAGGTAAGAAACTTGATCTTGAAATTCGCTTTCCTTTTCTGAAACAATGGGGATTGTTTTGAAAGAGAGATGCTGTTTTGGTTGTCACAGCACCAAGACATTCCGAGCTCACCAAAAAGCTGTTTTGTGGAATTACTCCTCCCCGCCCCCTCTTAATCTTACCTTGAAAAATGCTTTTGAGCAGTTTTCAGAAATGTACATTGAACAACGAGGCAATTTAAAAAAATATTTTTATTGATTTCAGAGAGGAAGGGAGAGGGAGAGATAGAAACATCAGTGATGAGAGGGAATCATTGATTGGCTGCCTCTTGCTCACCCACCCACTAGGGATTGAATCCGAAACCTGGGCATGTGCCTTTTTTTTTTTTAAATATATTTTATTGATTTTTTTTTTTTTACAGAGAGGAAGGAAGAGGGATAGAGAGTTAGAAACATCGATGAGAGGGAAACATCGATCAGCTGCCTCCTGCACATCTCCTACTGGGGATGTGCCCGCAACCCAGGTACATGCCCTTGACCGGAATCGAACCTGGGACCTTTCAGTCCGCAGGCCGACGCTCTATCCACTGAGCCAAACCGGTTTCGGCTGATTTTTTTTTTTACAGAGAGGAAGGGAGAGGGATAGAGAGTTAGAAACATCGATGAGAGGGAAACATCAATCAGCTGCCTCTTGCACACCCCCTACTGGGGATGTGCCCGCAACCAAGGTACATGCCCTTGACCGGAATCGAACCTGGGACCCTTCAGTCCCCAGGCTGATGCTCTATCCACTGAGCCAAACCGGTCAGGGCTGGACATGTGCCCTTGACTGGAATTGAACCCGGGACCCTTCAGTCCCCAGGCCGACACTCTATCCACTGAGCCAAACTGGCTAGGGCAATTTTAAAAAAAATATATTTTTATTGATTTCAGAGAGGAAGGGAGAGGGAGAGAGAGAGAAACATCAATGATGAGAGAGAATCATTGACTGGCTGCCTCCTGCACACCCCCTACTGGGAATCGAGCCCACAACCCATGCATGTGCTCTTGACCGGAATCGAAACAGGGACCCTCAGTCTGCAGGCCAACAGTCAATCCACTGAGCCAAACCAGCTAGGGCACAACAAAGCAATTTAATATCAGTGATGCCGGACTTTGAGAGGGGTTTGGAGGGGTTAAGTGTTGTGTTTGTGGCTACATGCAGTGTGCAAGTACTTCTTACAACTTTTGCGGTGTGCAGGGTGGGGCAGAAGTAGTTGATAGCTGTGAGTACATGAAACAGAGTCTATTCTTGTATTATTATTTATTAATTATTGTGTTATTTTCCATACAAAAAAAACCTGTAAACCTACTTTTCCCTTACCCTGTATATAACGCTGCCACACTGTGGGAACCCAATAAATGTCCTTGAAAATGAAATACTCTTTAAGGCTAATGTAAATGAGGTTATTTATGCATGCAAGAAATCAGGATGTTCCACATATACCTTAAAAATACTGTAGGCAGCCGTGGATAGAGCATCAGCCTGCGGACTGAAGAGTCCCAGGTTCAATTCCGGTCAAGGGCACATGCCCGGGTTGTGGGCTCCATCCCCAGTAGGGGGTGTGCAGGAGGCAGCTAATCAATGATTCTCTTTCATCATTGAGTTTCTCTCTCTCTCTCTCTCCCCTTCCCTTCCTCTCTGAAATCAATAAAAATATATTACAAAAAAAATACTGTAGCCGGGACATACCTGCTAAACACCTACGTTTTGAGTTTATCTGGTTTTTCTGGTTAAAAATATTGTCTGGTTCATAGCGAAATTTTAGGTGGCTGGAGATAGGAGGTATCCTACATGTTACTTGTGTTTCTAGATCAGGGGTGGGCAAACTTTTTGACTCGAGGGCCACAATGGGTTCTTAAACTGGACCGGAGGGCCGGAACAAAAACATGGATGGAGTGTTTGTGTGAACTAATATAAATTCAAAGTAAACATCATTACATAAAAGGGTACGGTCTTTTTTTTTTTTAGTTTTATTCATTTCAAATGGGCCGGATCCGGCCCGCGGGCCGTAGTTTGCCCACGGCTGTTCTAGAGATGCTTTTGGTAACCTTCTGGCTTTCCCTTTCTCTCTTTTCAATAGGGAAGTTCGGAACACGCATTTGCCCTGCTTTCATCTTAAGCATACCGTACACATGTCTTCCCGTCTGGGCCGGCTTCAGAATCTATAACCAGCCGACGGAATATTGTCATTACCTGTATTAAGTCACATGTAACCTTGTCTGCACGCTGGCAGGGCGCACCCGCATCCACGGGCCGCTGAGCCGTGCGCCTCCGGGGGCGCCTCCGGGGACTGGAGCTTTTGGGGACCGCGATCAGTCGGCGTGACTGTGTCGGTTCTGCAGTGTCTGTCATGCCAAGACTGCCCGACGGCGCCTGCTTCCGGGGCCAGTGGTCCCCTGGGCTGCTCCCCTCACATTCTGTGTGTGTGCTGAGTCGGGTTGGTCTGGGGCTGTCTGTGGCCTGGAGTCTGATCACCTGGGCATCTCTTCAGAGCAGAGGTACCTGTGCCTTTACGGCCCTGAGGGGAGGCTGGAGGGATACTGCGTTCGAGGTAGCACACACAGCCATAGGGTTCAAAGAGACCCAGGCACATGGATACCAGCTACAGGACGCCTTCCTTTTCTTTCTTTAATCCTCACTTAAGGATATTTTTCCCCATTGATTGTTTTTTAGGGAGAGTGGAAGGGAGAGGGAGAGACAGAGAGAAACGCTGATGTGGAAGAGACACATTGATGGGTTGCCTCCCACATGCCCCTGACCAGGGCCAAGAGCCTGTAACCGAGGTACGTGCCCTTGACTGGAATCGAACCCAGGAGCCTTCAGTCTGCAGGCTGACACTCTATCCACTGAGCCAAACTGGCTAGGGCTACAGGACGCCTTCTGAGACAGCTCCCTTATTCCCAGCCAGGTGTCCAAGATGCAACAGTACTGGCCGGGCAGAGACTCTGTTAAGATGTTTATTTCTAAGCTAGTGACATCTCCCTAAATTTCTCTTCCTTTTATAGATCCTTAAGATCCCTTAAGCCAGCGGTTCTCAACCTGTGGGTCGAGAACAATGAAAATACATCCTGCATATCAGATATTTACATGACGATTCATAACAGTAGCAAAATGACAGTAATGAAGTAGCAACGAAAATAATTTTATAGTTGGGGTCACCACAACATGAGGAACTGTATTAAAGGGTCGCGGTGTTAGGAAGGTTGAGAACCACTGCAGGCTTAAGCAAAACTGACATATGAAAAGATGCATCACTAGAGGTAATCAGAACATGATTATTCATTTGACAACAAGATTTACAAGGGAATTCATTAAAGTGCATTTGAATTCGCAAACATTTCATTTGTTCACATTCAGACACCTGCCGTGTAGACTGAGGTTGGCACACGGACAACTGGAACCCCTTACATCCTTTTTAAAAAAATTTTAAAGTTTTTAAAAAATATATTTTTATTGATTTCAGGGAGAGGGAGAGAGAGAGAGAGAGAGAGAGAGAGAGAGAGAGACATCAATGATGAGAGAGAATCATTGATCAGCTGCTTGCTGCACACCCCCTACTGGGGGTTGACCCAGGCATGTGCCCTGACTGAGCCTCGAACTTGGGGCCCTTTAGTCCGCAGGCCGACGCTCTATCCACTGAGCCAAACCAGCTAGGACGCCCCTTACATCCTTTTGAGGAATGAGGGTTGTTAAAAAAAACAGTCCCCACAGCCTTGGCCCTCCCTCTGGGGCATTTGAAGGCTCCATGCCAGTGTGTCAACAGTGATCATAAGATGCATGACTGTTATTATTTAAAAAAAAAAAAAGTTAAAACACAGAGTCAGCCGGGGAGAAGTAGACATTGTTATGCAGTGCTGACAGGAACATAAATTCAGAACCGCTCTGCAAAGCAGTCTGGCTATGTTCTCAGCCTTAACAAATGGAGCCCTGTAATGCAGTCCTTCTGGCTGCCAAACTCCTGTATTCAAGGTGCTCACCGCCCCCTCAGGTGTAACAGTTGACATGCCTCAACGTCCAACAAGTCAAATACGGTGCTTCCGTGTGACATTAAGTGTTTAAAGGGATTTTACTAACGTGGGGAAGTGCTTACAATTAGGTAGATGTTGAGAGTCGAAAGAACAAACACGAAATTGTCGATACATGAAGTCCTAATTTTGTGAAAAATAAAGCAACTATTAGTAGTAGCTTGGTGGGTTTATGGTTTATTTATTTTATTTTTATTTATTTTTAAAAATATTTTTATTGATTTCAGAGAGGAAGGGAGAGGGAGAGAGAGATAAAAATATCAATGATGAGAGAGAATCATTGACTGGCTGCCTCCTGCATGCCCCACACTGGGGATCGAGCGCACATCCAGGTGCTCTTGACTGGAATTGCACCCGGGACTCTTCAGTCTCCAGGCCGACGCTCTATCTCCTGAGCCAAACCGGCTCGGGTGATTTATGGTTTATTTTAGAAATGAGTATGCCTTATATTTATAATCACACAAAAGAGAGCTATTTCAAGAAAAAATATGCACTTAGAGCTAGAAAGGCCCTTTGAGGTCACATGGCCCCATTTGCTCATTTCACAGATGAGGAAACGGAGACTTGAAGGGGAAAACGATTTTCCTAAAGTTTCACGGCTGGGGGTTATGATAGGATTTTCCTAAAGTTACACGGCTGGGGGTTATGCTATGATTTCCTAAAGTTTCACGGCTCGGGGTTATGATATGAATGGGGAATCTTCACCCTCTCTCATCACCACCGCCAACCTTGTCTCAGTGGGTCTCCGGTCTCCTCCGGCCCCGGACCTGCTCAGCGGTTACAATCTCTGTTTTAGGTCATTCAAGAAGTCCAAGCGAAGGACCTGCTGAGAAGACCTTTTGACTTCCTGTTGGTCATCTGCCTCCTCCTGGCAACTGGATTTAGCCTGTTTAGAGGCTTGGTAAGCAGAACAGATCAAAGTAACATATATACCAGACTTCCTAGCGCACTGACCAGATATTCTTCCCATTAGGTCCTGGAGGGCGGGGCCTGCTTCCTGCTGCTCTCCTGCCGGGGTCAACCCCAAACCTCCTCTCTCCAGGGGGCGGGCTCATTCTGGGCTGCTTTGTGCCACCTCCTTCTGGTCCTTAGATCAAGCTCTACCCAGAAGTATCTTCCCTCCGCCCTAGTTGGTTTGGCTCAATGGATGGAGCGTCGACCTGCAGACTGAAAGGTCCCAGGTTCGATTCCCATCAAGGGCACATGCCTGGGTTGTGGGCTCGATCCCCAGTAAGAAGTGTACAGGAGGCAGCCGATCCATGATTCTGATCATTGATGTTTCTATCTTTCCCTTCCTCTCTGAAATCAATAAAAGTATATTTTTAAAAAAGAAATGTCCTTAAAAAAAAGAAGCATCTTCCTTCCCTTATTAAAGGGCACCTGAAAAAGTAGTCTCACTATTTTGGTTCCTTTGATGTTTCTGATTTAAGTATCTTGGGAACAGGTGTTAACGTAAGACTACAATAAACCAGGGCATCCAGGTGTTCTGAGGAGTAGGGCGGTGGGATTGAGGAAGGGTTCTAAGGGTAAGGCGTTAGCATCCTTGCCACGTAAGTACATCTGTGGCTGTGGGGCCTTGGAACAAAGGCTTACCCTCTTGGACACTCGGCGTCTTTATAAAATAACAGAAGCTAGCTGACGGTATTGTTTTGAAGATTTAATAATGAACATCGATACATGCAGAGGGCCTGGTACATAGTAGCTGCTCAATAAAGGTCTGTTTATTTAAAAAAAATTTCTTTATTGATTTCAGAGAGGAAGGGAGAGGGAGAGGGAGAGATAGGAATATCAATGATGAGAGAATCATGGATCGGCTGCCTCCTGCACGCCTGCTACTGGGGATCGAGCCCGCAACTCAGGCACATGCCCTTGACTGGAATTGAACCTGGGACCCTTCAGTCTGCAGGCCGACGTTCTATCCACTGAGCCAAACCAGCTAGGGCTGTTTATCGATTAAGGATCCTTCACAATGTCCCAGTTTCATGAGTTCTTCTTAGCAGCCGGAGTTACACGGTCAGTTATATTCAGCTTCCATGGCGATAGCCTGCTGCCATTGCACAGCTGCTGGGATGCAGAGCGGCCAGTGTAAGCTGAGGTAGTGGGTTCGTTGTTTTGGGGTCAGCTGGCTGGGTTCAGGGGGAGCAGCTCTCTTAAGATGTGGGTGGTTGCAAACTGCCTAGAGGAGAGCTGGCCACTAGGAGAGACTCAGGGGAGGGAAGAAAAGGAGAAAGCCAGGCTGTGGGCTTTGCTTAGACCACAGAGCCGTGAAACTGTCCTTTGCTTAGTTTGCTGTAATGCCCACAGTTCAAAGGACAGCAACAAGCCCTCGCCGGTTTGGCTCAGTGGATAGAGCGTTGGCCTGCGGACTGAAGGGTCCTGGTTTTGATTCCTGTCGAGGGCACATGCCCGGGTTGCGGGCTGGATCCCCAACAGGGGGCATGCAGGAGGCAGCTGATCAATGATTCTCTCTCATCGATATTTCTCTCTCCCTCTCTCTTCCTCTCTGAAATAATAATAGTAAAAAAGGACAGCAACAAAATTAGCGCTGCCTGTCATCTTGCACAGCTGTACCCACTTCCCTGTGTGTGTGTGTGCACACACGTTTGGTGGGTGGGCCTGTTAGGTTGGGAGTCCTTTCACCGACTCTGTCCCTGACCCGGGTTCATGTGTGCTGTCTGGGTGGGACATGACGGATGATGGCTGAGGGAGGTGACTGAGAGGGGACCCAGTAACATGCCAAAGAGACACTTGGTCTCTTCTGTGGCCTCGAGTCCACTGTGTTGGGACTAAACCTGCTCTGTTCTCAAAGGGGACGCTGGAGGGACGCAGGAGGTGGCTTCTGACGAGGACCTGCTTCCAAATCCTTGTTCTTTTTTTCTTTCAGTTTTTGTGTTTTTATTTCAATGGTCCTTTTTTCATTCATTCATTCATTCATTCATCCATTCATTATGTTAATCCTCACGCGAGGATATTTTTCCATTAATTTTTAGAAAGAGTGAAGGGGGAGAGACAGAGAGAGAGAGAGAGAAACATTGATGTGAGAGAGACACATTGATTGGTTGCCTATTGCACGGGGGTTGAGTCTGCAACCGAGATACGTGCCCTTGATGGAATCGAACCTGGGACCTTCAGTCCATGGGCCGATGCTCTATCCACTGAGCCAAACCGGCTAGGGCACAGACTCTTGTTCTGCACTGGCCCCCAGTGAGGCACTGGATAGAGGAGGTTATTTTTGTTGTTGTTAATCCTCGCCTGAGGGGATGTTTTTCCATTGATCTTTTAGAGAGAGTGGAAGAGAGAGGGAGAGACAGAGAGAAACATTTATGTGAGAGAAACACATCGATTGGTTGCCTCCTGCATGAGCCCTGACCAGGGCCTGGGCTGGGGAGCAGCCTGCAACCAAGGTACGTGCCCTTGCCCGGAATCGAACCCGGGGCCCTTTGGTCCGCAGGCTGACGCTCTATCCATTGAGCCAAACCAACTCGGGCTCAAACCCTGGTTCTTCACTGGTCTCCGAAGGCCATGCACGCCGTGAGGCACTGGACAGAGGCGGCTGTTTCTGAATCTTGCAGAGCATAGTAAGATGAACCTGGAAGGAAAGGCAGTGTCTTTCCTGCAGGGGCCGGAGGCTAGCTCTTCCCTGGAGAAGCCGTGCTCTGCTGGCGGGACCTGGAACTTAACCCGAGTCCTCGAAAGGCCGCGGGAGCAGAGCGTTAGCTCCAGTTCCTGCTCCCGTTTGCTCGCCTCGGCGTCCTCTGCTCCCAGGGCACCTGCAGGGTACCCTCCCCTCCCACGCGTAGTTTTTGTTACAGAGCAAAGCTGTTTGTCACTAAAGCTGGCACATCTGGCCTCATCAGCCAACAGAAGAGCCAGCTGTGACTGCATCTTTTTTAAAAATACATTTTATTGATTTCAGAGAGGAAGGGAGAGGGATAGAGAGAAAAATGAATGATGAGAATTATTGATCAGCTACCTGGGGATCAAGCCTGCAACCTGGGCATGTGCCCCGACCGGGAATTGAACCTGGGACCTTCAGGCTGCAGGCTGATGCTCTATCCGCTGAGCCAAACCAGCGAGGGCTGTAACTGCATCGTGATAACGAATTCATTTCTGTTCCCAGATTGCTCTGGATTGCCCAGCTGATTTCTGCCGGTTTTATACCCAGTTTCAAGAGCCCTACCTGAAGGACCCCGCGGCTTATCCCAAGATCCAGGTCAAGTAGTGACGGAGCCTAAGGTTTTTCTGTCTTCGCTCTTGGAGGATGGGAGCACGTGGTTCCGCCTGGGAAGCGGGAAATGAACATGCTCGCCTTTGCGAGGGTCCGTGGCCTGTGCTCTTCCTCGGGCCAGGCCGGCCGGTGTGTGATGACGTTTCTCTGTTGGCACAGATGCTGGTGTACCTGTTCTATTCTGTCCCTTACTTCTTGGTGGCGCTTTACGGACTGGTGGTGCCCGGGTGCTCCTGGATGGCTGACGTCACCCTGATTCACGCGGGAGGCCTCGCGCAGGTACCTGAGAACGCGCTCCGCTGTGAACGCTGACTGGGCAGGTGGCTGTCCTGGTTGAGGATCCCATACACCTCTGCTCGGTGTTTTAGGGTAGGAAACACTAGGTGGACATGTCTCCTTTGTTTTTGTGCTTTTTTAAAAAATAGTTTTTTATTGATTTCAGAGAGGGAGAGGGGAGAGATAGAAACATTAATGATGAGAGCATCATTGACTGGCTGCCTCCTGCACGCCCCCTACTGGGGATCGAGCCCGCAACCGGGGCATATGCCCTTGACTGGAATCGAACCCGGGACCCTTCAGTCCGCAGGCAGACACTCTATCCCAGCGGTTCTCAACCTGTGGGTCGCGACCCCTTTGGCGATCGAACGACCCTTTCACAGGGGTCGCCTAAGACCATCCTGCATATCAGATATTTACATGGTGATTCATCACAGTAGCAACATGACAGTTATGAAGTAGCCACGAAAATAATTTTATGGTTGGGGGTCACAACATGAGGAACTGTATTTAAAGGGCCAGAAGGTTGAGAACCACTGCTCGATAGAGCCAAACTGAGCCAAACTGGCTAGGGCCCCTTTGTTTTGTGGTTCCTCAGAAGACGTTTCTGCTGACCTATTTTATTTAAGTCTCGCAGTCACCACCTGGCAGGTGCTCCATCAGTTACACAGACGAGGCCCAGCGAGGTTGTGGGGTTTGTCCACCGCCACCGAGGCAGCAGGTGGCTCCGTTGTTTACAGTACCATTTGCCAGTCTCTCAACACCACGGCCACCAAAGAGAACTGAGAGCTGTTAACTTTAGGATGTCATTCTAAATTTGAGGTTTTGGAATTCCACTGTACTATCCTAGACAGAACCAGAGGGACTTATTTATTTTTTATTGATTTCAGAGAGGAGTGGAGAGGGAGAGATAGAAACATCAATGATGAGAGAGAATCATTGATTGGCTGCCTCCTGCACACCCCCTACTGGGGATCGAGCCCGCAACCTGGGCATGTGCCCTTGACCGGGAATCAAACCGTGACCTCCTGGTTCATATGTCCACGCTCAAACACTGAGCCACGCCGTCAGAGCCAGAGGGGCTCATTTTAAAGGGTCTGCTCCTCCCCCTGCTGTTAGCCCCGCCCCGGGCTCCAGTAGGTGCTCACTGAACTGCGAACAGAACTAGCTATGGAATGACTTCATCACACAAAGTGCATTTTTACGAAATAACAACCAGCTAAACAACTTGCTCTTATGAGCAAGGAAGAAAATGAAGTCGTTGTACCTTTTATTTTCTTACTGCCGGTAAAAGAGCCAAATGAACTTATCTTTTAAAATGATCGTCTTCATCTTGCTCTTTTCAAGCAAGCTTAAGAATGAGGTTCCTCCAGAAACTCTAGGCCAGTGGTTCTCAACCTTCTGGCCCTTTAAATACAGTTCCTCATGTTGTGACCCAACCATAAAATTATTTTCGTGGCTACTTCTTAACTGTCATGGTGCTGTTATGAATCGTCATGTAAATATCTGATATGCAGGCTGGTCTTAGGCGGTTTGACCGCCGAAGGGGTCTCGACCCACAGGTTGAGAACCGCTGCTCTAGGCTTAGCCAGTTAACTGGATCACAGCCAAGTCACTATGATGGCAACAAGACTATCAGAATTTACAGGGTTGGAAAGGTGACTTCCCATCTAAGGTACTTTGTAGGAGCTTAACTCGTGGTATAATTCTTCACACCTCCCATTCCCTCCCCTTTTACATCTAGCCCATCATTAGGTCTGCTTAGCGCTGTCTCAAGAGTAATTCTCGAACCCAACACCTTTTCTTTTTTTCCCTAATCCTCATCCGAGGATATTTTTTCATTGATTTTTAGGGAGAGTGGAAGAGAGAGGGAAAGACAGACAGAAACATCGACGTGAAAAACACATCCATTGGTTGCCTCCTGCACAAACCCTGCCCAGGGCCCGGGCGGGGGAGGGGCTGCAACCAAGGTCCGTGCCCTTGACTGGAACGGAACCCGGGACCCTTCGGCCGGCCGGCCAACGCCCTATCCACTGAGCCAGGCCAGCTAGGGTGCGATTACTGTTTTTATTGTCAGAAGTTCCAGTAAGAGTCTGGAGGGGAAATGCCTTGTGTGACCCTGGAGGTTCATTTACTGATCTGCAGCGGTGCATATTGTGTCTCTTTCCCTAAAACTCGTGAACCGGGAGAAAGTTTTGGGACAGCCTCACAATGGGTTTGGCAGGGAGCCCGGCGCGCCATCGTTAACACACTCAGGGCCACGGGAGCAGGAAGGGATCCAGGCAGCCAGGCAACGCCCTTCCCACCGCGGCCTCGGGACTCCCATTCCCTGGCCAGGCAGGTGCCTCTCGCTTTCTCACCAAAGGGTCTGGAGGCTGCTCTGTGGATAATTTGATTGTAAAGAGTTGACTCTACTGGAGGTGAATTGTAAAGGGTGTCCCAAAATTCACACAAGAAGTAATTTTGATAGAAAACAGGTTTATAATTAAAAATTGTAAATTTTTTATTGATTCATAAAGTATACAGTATAGGGTTATGTATGGAATAGCATATCAGGTAAATGGCCTCCACGGCACAAAAAACTGGATTATCATGTCGAGATAGCGAGCACCATTGACTGTTATTGCCTGAGCAGCCGCATTTCGGTCATGGAAAATTTCTTTTTTTTTTTTTTTTTAAATATACATTTTATTGATTTCTTACAGAAAGGAAGGGAGAGGGATAGAGAGTTAGAAACATCGATGAGAGAGAAACATCAATCAGCTGCCTCCTGCACACCCCCTACTGGGGTTGCGCCCGCAACCAAGGTACATGCCCTTGACCGGAATCGAACCTGGGACCTTTCAGTCCGCAGGCCGACGCTCTATCCACTGAGCCAAACTGGTCAGGGCGGTCATGGAAAATTTCAACAAAAGAGTGCATATATGCCAGCAAAGCCGTGGAGGCCATTTACCCGATATGCTATTCCATACATAACCCTATACTGTATCCTTTATGAATCAATAAAAAATTTACAATTTTTAATTATAAATCTGTGTTTTCTATCAAAATTACTTCTTGCGTGAATTTTGGGACACCCTTTATAAGCTTTTTCCTTTATGGAAACACCTCACAAATGATCAGGTAGATGCTCAGCCTCACATCTCCGCATTTTGGAGAAATGCTTTGTGGAAGGAAGCTTTATGGGTTTTGACAGTCATGAGACCAGGACTGTAGAACGTTTATTGAGCTCTCACAATGCGACCGGTGCCACACGGAACATGAGACACAGGACCTGCCCGGCGGGCTTGCACTCTAAGGACATGACTGTTTCCTGCTGCCGCTGGGAGTGTGCTCTTGGGGACAGCGAGGTATAAACCGCGCTGTTGGTGCAGGAGAGCCTACGGCCTCACCACCTGAGGGTTTCCCTCCGCAGGTGGGCATGACCCCTCGTATTACCCATTCTCTCCACACGTCCCCACATTTGGTGATTTTTGTGGCGCGTACAGTGCCCCACGTTTCAGAAAATCAGGGTTTGAATCTGGCCTCAGGTACAGCAGACAAAGTTTGGTTATGTGTTCAGACAGTTACTGAAAATAGGCTCTAGGGAAACACAGTGCTGGGGGCCGAGCTCCGGTTCCGGGTCCCAGAATGTCCACAGCAGCGGCCCCGCGCATGCCCTAGGCTCTCAGGGTCTCCTGGCTTCAGAGCCCAGAGATGAAACCCAGCTGACCACTTGCTGGGTTCGGCCTTTTGTCTGCGCTGGGAGGTGTGTGTGGGGCAGAGTCCTCTCAGGGCCTCACGGGTCACAATGCAGGGGTGTCCTTGACAGAACAAAAGTTGAACCAGAGGCCCCCAGAATGTAGCGGGAATTCGTGAAGACGTCCCTGATACAGACCCATACACACGCCGCTTAAGGAAGCTGGTCCTTTACTTATGCATAAGGTCCAGGGCTCAGTAACACCTTTATCTGTTAGCCACTCGGCAGAAGAAACAGATTTCATAGGGAAGGAAAGAGAAGACAACGTATGTGTATTTAAAGCAGGTTCGTTTTTCATTGTTGCTTCCGTGCCTTCTTTCGAGTGCAATGTCTTTTGTCTCTTCACTTTGATCCTGATGAGTAACCCACCACTTACTACACTCAGATTCTCAGTTCTTTATTCATGTGCACCTTGAATTTCAGTGAGATATGAAACTGAAATGCAGACTCCACGATTGCCTTTTGTAATGATACAAGGATCCTGAGGAAATCTCACAGAAGCCTTTTTCTAACACAGTTTTCCCCTGTTCTTATGAAAAGCATCAAAGAGAGACGGCCGGGCACGTTCTGCTGTGTGTTCTGAACAAGCAGAGGTACAAGCGGGAAGTGCTGGCCTTTCCGTTCTGTACAATTGGATTTGAAAAGGTCGCCTGTGCGTACCCTGGCCATTTTACAGAGCGCACCCCTACCCCTACCCCACCCCACGCTGGTAACAACCCCAGCTCGCAAAACAAACCTTGGCGTTTTTTAAGTTGCATAAGAAACAAATACACGAATAAATAAAGCAAAAAATACATAACCAAGGGCTTTGAGCTTTTGCTCCAAGGAGTAGGTAAAAGACTGATACATGAAACTGAGGTCCCCAGTGCTGTTTTTTAAATAGTTAAAAATCTTTTTGGTTTCTCAATTCCGTACTTTCTTTTTTTTTTTGTTAATCCTCACTTGAGGGTATTTTCCCATTGAGTTTTAGAGAGAGGGAAAGAGAGAAACATCAATATGAGAGAGACACATCGATTGGTTGCCTCCTGCACGCACTCCGACCAGGCCGGGGGAACCTGCAACCGAGGTAGGTGCCCTTGACCGGAATTGAACCCAGGACTCTTCAGTCTGTGGGCCGACGCTCTATCCACTGAGCCAAACGGGCTAGGGCTGTACTTTCTTCATTTTTATGGGAACACATTTTGTGAGTCTCATGATAGGATCCTCAGAATGCAAATCAGAAAACAAAAACAAGTCACCTGAGATTTTATTCAGATTTTTCTGTTACACTGACCTACTGATGTTTGTTTGCTGTGGGGCCCTGGATGGTTCATAAAACAGCTGGTATGCTAAAGCCACGCTCAAGAAGGTACACTTTATTTGAACAGTTCCGTCCAGACCAGCCCTACATTCAGTGACATATTCAAGACTACGGACTGGTCAAAAGCACTAGTCCTTTAGGGCATAGAGACATGGCCTGAATGAATGAGCCAGAACGTGTCGCCCACCCAGCTGGTCACAAAATTCACGCTTACCCCTTTTCTTTAACGCCATAGGCTCAGTTTTCTCACATCGGTGCTTCTCTTCATGCGAGAACCGCTTACATCCACAGAGTCCCCGAGGAAGCGAAAATCCTCTTTCTGGCGTTCAACATAGCCTACGGAGCCCTTCCTCAGCTCCTGGCCTATCGCTGCATCTACAAGCCAGAGTTCTTCCTCAAAGCAAAGGCGGAGGAAAAGGTTGAATGATAACAGGACTTCCTGTGGCGCTTGTCGAGATGGCGGGATTTTGATTCCCTGGTCCTGGGGTTTCGTCTCATTCCACTCCCTTCCCCTACACCAACACTGTTCTGCACTGAGTATGTGAGCTATCTATGGGACCGCGTGGGTCAATTTCTTTTTATTATTTTTTTGAAGGAAAGCTGAAGTTGTTGAGAGAAACAGTTTAAAGAAATTTATTCAAAAATTTATTGTGAGAAAACCTGACCATCTCAATGTTCTGTTTGCGCATACTAAGGATATGTATGAAAAATGACTATTTAGCTCCTACAACAGTGAGCATGGAAACAAAACTGTTCAAAAGTGAATATGCTTTATGCGTATTAAAGATTCAAAAAAGCAAATTGAGATTGGAGAAATATTTTTGCATATAAGATGTCTATGCTTCATTATCAACATCAATATAAAAGGCAAATTACCAGTGTATTTTACAATGTTATTTGAAAAATGTTTTCCCAGGGGAAGTATATTATTTACCGTTGTTTTAAAGACTGCTTTTACTAAAATGTTTTTGTGAGTTTAAACAGCTAAGGAGGGATCGATAACTTTATTATTATCCTTAATGGAATACTTGTTTTACTGGTGAAAGGAGAGATTTCTATTGTATTTCTGTGTATATTTTTAATAAAATTATTTTTGACCTTTTATGACGACAAATCTTATTTAATGTGAAACATTTTTTTCATACGGTTTTGTAGTTTATTTTAAAAATCTGTCATTTATATGTTCCAATTTAAAATGCCACCTACATTCTCCTTATGCTTTAGTGTCAGCAATGAAGAGGTCCTGTGATGAATCAAACTTCATTAATTTTAAATTCAATTAAAATACTCAAAATTAAAAAGACCTTTAAAGAAAAAGAACTGGATTGTCATTTCTACTCTCTTTTTTTTTTAATCCTCACCGGAGGATATTTTTCCTTTGATTTTTAGAGAGAGAAACATTGAAATGAGAGAGACACATTGATTGGTTGCCTCCTGCATGCCCTGACCAGGGCTGGGGAGGAGCCTGCAACCAACGTACGTGCCCTTAACGGGAATCGAACCCGGGACCCTTCAGTCTGCAGGCCGACACCCTATCCCCTGAGTCAAACCAGCGAGGGCATTTCCTACTATCTTTTAATGAACGTTCACATGTGAAACTGTGAGTGAGAACAGTATGAGAAAGAAAAGTATTTGCTGAATGAGAGAACCCACAGCACAGCTGCCTCCTCAGAGCCCGAGGTGGGCGGCAGGGCTTTCCGAGCCTTGGCTGCCATGGTCACCATCACCATCACCATCATGAATAGCCCTGGGCCAGTGGTTGGCAAACTCATTAGTCAACAGAGCCAAATATCAACAGTACAACGATTGAAATTTCTTTTGCGATCCAAATTTTTTAAACTTAAACTATATAGGTAGGTACATTGTTATTAACTTAATTAGGGTACTCCTAAGCTGGGCTTTCTAAAAACGTCCCTAATTAGAGGGTCGACCTCAGCGAACGTACCCCCACTTCTTCTAACGCCACTTCTTCAAAATAGACTCGCCCAGGCCGAAAACCGACTTCTGCGCATGGGCCATGAAGTTTCAATCGCACTGTACGTGCGCCCGCACGTGGTATTTTGTGGAAGAGCCACACTCAAGGGGCTAAAGAGCCGCATGTGGCTCGCGAGCCGCGGTTTGCCGACCACTGCCCTGGGCCTTTACAGCTTCTCACATTCTGTCTTCATGTCATTTTTTAGCTCTTCGCCAAAATAAGAAAAGTAGAAGAAAACAGGGTCCAGATAAAAACCCGGATGAGGTCAAGTGTCTGAGCTTAGGGTCCAGTGAGCTGGTAAATATCTTAGATGTATAAGCAACCACAGGCCATTCCTTCCCCTCCCCCCAGTGTTTACAAAAAACCCTTACAGCCCGGAGAGAGTATGAAAATAAGACCTCACCTGCACTGGTTCTATTGCCAACTTGCTGTCAACAAACTTCGCTTTAATATGTGAATCACATCAATACCTCACATTACATTTATGAAGCCAAGTTACACCAACGTAGTGGTTTACAACCTCAAACCTTACTCCCAGGACACATTCCAATAAATTTATTCTGTAAAAACAATACATTTTTTTTCTTCTTTTTTTTTTTTTTACAGTAAACTTTTCAACTACAAACCTCGAGTACGCGAAATATGTTTCAAAGACAAGCATAACAGGATTGAGGAAACCCAAACTGACTAAATGTGTCCTCACAATATAGGCTGGCATAAAAATAAATAAAACTCTCTATGATCACAATAGCAACGAGAATGTACACATAATAATGGTGTGTGGATGGAGAGTAGCTATTCTAATTCTAGTCCTGAAAGAAAACAAGTTCTTTTAAAAAGTCTGTATTTAAAAGTCGATGCTCTGTCTGGTTTCCCATAGGGCTGCTGCGGATGTCCAGCTTCAAGCTCCCACCTCTGGTGACCCGCTCGAATGGTCTTGGCAGTGGGGGAAAGAAAGTGTTGCCTCTATTTTGGGGTTAACACAAAAAGACGCACTGACCTCACATACAGAAACTGGGTTTGTGTACCTAACAGCGTGAGTCTGGAGAAGTAGAAGTTGTCAATGGGCTATTTCTAATACGGAATAGATATCTTACAATATGGTTAACCTTTACACCTGGCCTCGAAGATGAAGAACCATTTTCATTTCATCTTCAATATGCCAACGTTACGTATCTAGGAACTGGCTCCCGGGTCCTGTCACCCAGAGGAGATACGTATCAGGTTGAGTGGTCGTTTTAAAGAAATGCAAATTTATATTGAACTGAGTGTGCGGTGGAGGCGGAGTGAGGCAGGAGGCTTCAGAACGTCACTGCCTTGATAAAAGGATCCTAGACGTGTGTAAGTCTGTGCAAACATCTTGATAGCCCTCAGTGGTTAAGGGCAGCTTCATGCAACCAAGTAACAAGAAATTATATCAGTAACTTTAAAAAAGGCTAAAATGTCTTTTTTTTTCTTTCTTTCTCTAAACACAAACAGAGAGGAATGTGAATCAAGGACATACAAACTGGGTTCAGTCAATGACAACAAGGACCGTGTGGGTTCGTAGCAAATCCGAGAACATGAGACAACCAAGCGCGCAACCTTCCTGTGGTTTCTCAAATACGCAGCGTTCACCACGGTGGTTAGGTCTGTAAGAGAAGAGAGAAGACGAGCCTTTAGGAGACGGAGGACATCAGCAACAGAAGCTTCTGCACCGACAGAGCGTACAGCTGGGCCTGCGGAGGTTCCCACCTGCACTGCGGCACAGACCACACTTAGCAAGCACAGCCTGGGGCTCTGCTTCATACCCGTCAGTGCAAAAAGCCAAAGGAACGACTAGGGTTTTTGTTTGTGTTTTTTAAAAATACATTTTTACTGATTTCAGAGAGGAAGGGAGAGGGAGAGACGGAAACATCAATGATGAGAGAGAATCATTGATCGGCTGCCTCCTGCACGCCCACAACCCAGGTACATGCCCTTGACCGGAATCGAACCTGGGACCTTTCAGTCGAACCGTGACCTCCTGGTTCATAAGTCGATGCTCAATCACTGAGCCACAAAACATTTTTAAAAAAGGCAAACTGCTTTAAAATTTAAAAAGCATTTGGAGTGTATGCAAATTATTCTGTATAATATTTACAACTTAATTACTTTGACATCGGGCTTGTCGAAAAACTAGAGTTGGCAAAATCAAGGTGGACAGAAACGAAGCCCACTTTCTTTCAGAATTCAGGTGGCGTGTGTGACAAAGAGGAAAGTCTCCGTGTGGGGCCCACTTTAAACTGTGCCAGGCCCCACTTCCCCACAGGGATCCTGTCTTTGTTCTCTTCATCACTGACCCCAAAATACCAAAGCCCCTAGTACGCTCTCATGGGACGAGTGAAAGAGGGAACCCAGGCCCCAGATATTTCTTCTAAAACAGCCTGCTTCAGGCCTCACTTCACCGAGCAGAGGGATGTGTTTGGAAGCACGCATGGCTCACGCGTGGGAGTGTTTTCACGCACAGACCCAGTATCTACACTGAACTGTACATGACGCCGTACGTGAGTCATGCCAGAGCCTTCAGAGAGGAAGCTGCTAAACCCGGCATCCCCTCGAGCGGCAGGAATACATTTCTCAGCCTCTGTTTCTACCAAATTGGGAAAGCCAATCTTAAAACCAACCTACAAACAAACCCCGTTTAAAATCTGTGATCCAGCCCGGCTGGTGTGGCTAGTGGTTGAGCATTGACCTATGAACCAGGAGGTCATGGTCATGGGTCAATTCCCAGTCAGGGCACATGCCCAGGTTGCGGGCTCCATCCCCAGTGGGGTGTGCAGGAGGCAGCCAATGATTCTCTCATCATTGATGTTTCTATCTTTCTCTCCCTCTCCCTTCCTCTTTCTGAAATCAATAAAAATATATTTTTAAAAATTAAAATCTGTGACCTGCCCTCGCTGGTTTGGCTCAGTGGACTGAAGGGTCCCGGGTTCAATTCCGGTCAAGGGCACCTACCTAGGTTGCAGGCTCCTCCCCGGCCTGGGCCCTGGTCAGGGCACCAGCAGGAGGCAAGTAATCGATGTGTTTCTCTCCCATCGATATTTCTGTCTGTCTTTCCCTCTCTCTAAAATCAACAGAAAAATATCCTCAGGTGAGGATTAAAAAGAGTAAATAAAATCAAATCTGTGAACTTGCAAAATGCAATGCCTGATGACTCCTAACTATTCACAAATAAAAGCACAAGATACAAGATTATACTCACAGCCTTTGAAGGATTTCCCTCCCTTGTGAAGGAGGAAGACATCCATTTAAACAATAAAAAAAACACCCTGTTAACCAACCACAGAAACTTCTTTAGTAATGTCTTTTAAAAACATTAATGTGAAAGGCAGTAGTTTCTATGCCCACATTGGTAGAAAATTCACAGCAACAACTAAGCAATCCATATTGAAGAATCGTTCAGAACAGATGGTCCCACAGCAGCCTCAATAAATCATTACTGCCCCACACACAGTGAAGGCGGCACCAAAGTGTGACCATCACTTTAATGACATGCTTTTCTTTTTTTTTGGGGGGGGGAGGGTGTGTCTTTAAACAAGGTAGCAGGTGGGACACAAGGAAATTGAATGTGTCAGGTACTCAAGCCTGCATTCAGTGAGGCTACAGGCAAAGGGAACAACAGAGGACTATGTACTGGAGAGAGGTGTGGAGAATAAAGACAGGCAGGGGCGGA